TATTGATTGTCTAAAAGAACTTGCGGATGCTATTAATGACTCAAATCAATTTCAATGGGAACCTGTATATACACAGTTAAAAACTAAAGCATGGTGTCTTGGTTTTCAAACGATTGTTCATAAAAATGGTGTCAGTGAAATGTTTAAAATTGTTAAACCCAGCGAAATATATCTTGATGATAATCCAGTGTATTCGAAAATTTGTCAACCATTATTACCTCCATTAGATCCAACATTGCCCAAATTATATAAACGCTTCGGAGCGCAATGGCTATCAAACTGTATTGTAGAAAAGAAAAAATGGACAGGTACAATTAGTTACTATCAACAGTTATACGGTTTATATTGAGTCTATCGTAAAACTAGCGGAAAAGAATCATTTGAAATGTTAAATTATGATTCATTAATAATGAAACTGATTCTATGAGTTAATGCGTTTTATGACCAATTGTTTTTAGAATGTTATATTTAAAAAGCTTTAATTAGGGAATCATCTCAAGTGATCTTCTTGTTTGTTTTGTGATTTTGTTCATAGGTAGATAGTCACTGGAGTAGTTGAACCTCTCATGTTTAGATTTAGTTGATACAGCAAATTTTTAGTTGATTCTCCGTTCATAGCTGTAGGTTTCACAGAATATCTTATTTGTGAATTTTAATCCTTAACGTTCGAAGAGGTTGTGCCATGTACCCAATTATATCAGTTTTGAAAATTGTATTACCAAAGTATGTACTTCTCACATATATATGTACACTATTTTTGAAGTGTCATGCAAGATAGAAATGAAGTATAGTCGTATTCATCCAACTTAAACATGACCGGCATATATATTGAATGTTCCGCTAGTCTAGTGATATCTTACATATAAATAAAAGCTACAGACAAATAGAAAATATTATTTGGGAGTAGTCTCTCGTTAATATTGTTTAATTTTGTAATCTTCTAGGGAAACCAGTTACTTCTGAACGTGCAACTGAGTTGAAAAACAAGATTGAAGACCGACTCCCAATGTTGTTTGTCGATAATCGAGTGAGTATCCGTATATAACTGACGTATGTCTTCGTTGCAACAAAGTTCTTCGTAGGGAGAAAATCTACCCGATCTTGACGAAAAACATGTGGAGCTGTTACGGACCACACTCTCAGTTTTTGAGGTTGATATCATTGAATGTTTGTTGACATTTAAAAATCAAACTATTCCCCTCGACGTAAGAAATAGCATGAAGGTTATTACAGTCTTTTGATTTCATTCTACATTTCAGTCACAAAATAGTAGTTCATGTACACTTGAATGTAAAAACAATAAGGTGACGTTGTACCTTCGAAAGGATGTATCGCCTTTGGATTATCTCGATATTGCACGTGAACTTGCCGTGTTTGGATTCGGGAAACCAGACAAGTATGCTGATGAAATCAGCAACAAACTTGGACTATCTATAGAAATACTCGAACGACGAGGTATTCCTGTTAAACGCTTGCTTTTAAATGCACAGACACAAAGTAGGTTATCGATATAAAATGTTTTAAAAGCAAACATTAATGAGGATCTATTTCAACTTCTCTTCAGAACGCCAAATTTCACCCATAGAGGAGAAATGCGACTTCTCTTCAGAACGCCAAAGTCCATCCACAGAGGAGAAATGCGACTTCTCTTCAGAACGCCAAAGTTCATCCAGAGAGAAGAAGCACAGCCTCTTTGAAGCCATATCAAGGTCAGTATTCAGATGTGTAACGAAGGTTTCTGATCAAACTAGAATAGAGCCAATATGATCGCAAGGCTAAGATGCTTGTTATATACTTCTGTAGCATAGTATTTAACTTTGAGTATTACATAGCATGATATGACCTTTGGCAAGCAATCAATGAGTGTTGAGTCTTGAATCTCCGATTCGATGGCATTCTGACCATTGTCTAACACACAAGAGCTCTTGCAGTTTTCCTCTTCTTATTCAAATCGTAATAATAGTTATTTATTTAACAAAAAACAATATACAATTGGCCGGATGTTCGAAAAAGTTGTTAACCGTTATCAAAATGTGGGAGATTCTCAGACGATTGCAGTCATTATAAAACTATGTCATTCAGAAGAGTATACTCTCAATAAATTGAGTATGATAACTAGAAGAAGCTAGAAAATGACGAGATTGGCAGTAATCATATATTTAAGACTTCTAAAAAACGTTGTCTTAATTTTCATGTTTGTTTGTTTCAAAATAATGTTAATATTCGCAGACTGAGTTGAGAATCATGCTCTTGGGAAATTTTCGAGGAAATTATTTTTATGGAAAAATGAGACCCAAATCATTAATAATCAACAAAAATTGGCATAAACTAAAGCAATTTTCAATTCATGTTTTCTTTTGGTGTTTCTGTATGCGTAAAGTTCGATTCGTATTATTATATAAAGAAAAAATTACATAAGAGTAATGACATAGGTTGATATATGTATAATGGAAGAAATACATGATTGATAAAGGAATCTGATTTTTTTTTCGAGATGAAAAAATTTTCATGTAATTTTCAAAAAAGAATTCTCAGCACTCTTAACCCCGAAGATATTTTCGTTCGAGTGTGAAATGCCACATCTTTAACGTTCTCTCTCCTATAGCTCACGAGGGAAGGTTACCAACTGTCCAATCCCTTTTGAGTTGATATTTTGGCTATAGTTAGGGGACCATAAGGCTAGAATAACCCTAAGAGGATTCGGGCCGCTAGGCCTTTGAAGCCGAGTTATGGGCTTTTCACTGAATTTTTGATCATTTTTTAGATATTGCTCATGTCGCAGAAACACGGTCGTAAACGGCCGTATACAAGGAAATACGACGGTTTACATGTGGTCGTATTACGATCGTATATCTCCGTATCGTATACGGAGAAATACGGCGATATACGGAGACAAAAAACGGTCGTATACGGTTATGTCGTGAACGTTTACGGTCGTTTACGACTGTATAAGGGCCCGTAATGGCCGACCTGGGTGGGCAAAAATCAAATAACGGAGGTTTTGACCTGGAATATTCTTCATAGATAGATCTAACCATCATTAGAATATCCTGAAAGGTTCAGCCGAAAAAAGTGTCCGCTTGTTGAGATATAGGATTATTAAAAAATAAGCGTTTATCGTAGACAAGGTACAAAATGCCAGTTCACTTGAAAATTCAATATCTCGACAAAGGAACACTTTTTTTGGCTGAAACTTTCAGGATATTCTAATGATGGTTAAATCTATCTATGGAGAAAATTTCAGATCAAAACTGCGTTATTTGATTTTTTGCCCAATATTGAAAAAATGGTCAAAAATTCCGTGAAAAGCCCATAACTCGGCTCCAAAGGCCTAGCGGCCCGAATCCTCTTAGGGTTATTCTAGCCTTATGGCCCCCTACCTATAGCCAAAATATCAACTCAAAAGAGATTGGACAGTTGGTGACCTTCCCTCGTCAGTTATCATTAAACGGAAAAAGAAAACGATTAAAAACATCAGGCATGACTGAATTAATTGTTACGAGTGCTTTATCGAGACGTTATCAACTTCTTTCTAACGAAAAATATCGATTGATTGTTTAATAAACTTGCTGATGCATTATCTATAAACAAAGTGAACAGTATAATGAAAATAATAACTATAAAATATTTAGAACATATCAATCTTGTTTTCGGTAAACGACCCCTGATACAGAAATTAGACAATATTTGAATCTTATTCAGGTCTCATGTTTCGGATTGGAAGTCAATAACATGAGTATATTGCATGACTGATGGTTCGAAGTCTAATCAATTGATCGAATTTTATTTTTCTTTTAGAATTTTTTCTTCTGATCCAGATCGGAAAAACCATGTTCATCCTATCAACGACGATGATACAAATACTAAGTGTAATACTGGCGATAATATTACTAAACCTAATAAGCCGCTGCAAACTATTGACGATGACTTTAAAGTTATTAATGAAAGTAATGAAATCTCATCAATTCAAGGCGCCGCTGGTGATTATACNTCTAATCAATTGATCGAATTTTATTTTTCTTTTAGAATTTTTTCTTCTGATCCAGATCGGAAAAACCATGTTCATCCTATCAACGACGATGATACAAATACTAAGTGTAATACTGGCGATAATATTACTAAACCTAATAAGCCGCTGCAAACTATTGACGATGACTTTAAAGTTATTAATGAAAGTAATGAAATCTCATCAATTCAAGGCGCCGCTGGTGATTATACTGCTTATAATAAATCTGTCAAGGAGCTCCCTAATATGCCAGATTTCAGAGAAATTGAAAAAGCAAATGAAACTGTACTACACCAGATATACAAAGATCAATCCTATAAGCATTCACAATTTACACAGTTAGAACATACTAAAACATCCACAATCACTACGTGTGAAAAAGTTCCTGCTCAGAATATGACACGTTTTAATCGTGTATTTTATTCGGTTCCATTATATATTGAGTCTGATGTGATTGTAACGGATACCATGATTGATCAAGCAAAACAGTTCGCTTATCTTCTTAATGGTCTAGCTACTCATGTTTTTAAAACTAATATTAAAACAATACATATGTTTAGAGACATCAACGGAGGTAAGCGTATATGCATGTGTACTGTAACATTCATAAATATTTCGTTTTTAGATAAAGTAGCATTCAATCTCGGTGGTGCAATTTTCTTCAATCTTCATTATTTCGAACAAGTTTATGCCGATAAATTGAAGCCTATTCTACGAACATCTTCTTCATCAAATACTCTTATACGTACAACTCTCAATTTTTATTTTATTGTATTTTGCCATGAATTATCACACAACATTGTAGACCAACATGATGAAATGTTTATTACTTGCCTCCAAAAAATTGCTGTTCAATTTATGAATGATAAAGATTTGTTTCTAGAGCACTTCTCATTTAAAGATTATAGCAAAACTTAATGGAAAAGTTAATAAAATAATGCCTGATTGAATTTGTATTAACATCTAGAATATTTAATATCTCTTTTAACAGTTCTGTTTTATTAGAATATGTTGAAGTCTGTGATTTAGAAATGTCTGTCATCTGCATTTTCGTGACTCTTCTTACAATTTCTGCATTATCTGCTCTCCACAGTTCATTAATACTATATGTCGTATATTCTCTTTCTCCGTGTCTATTCGTGAATCTGTTTAAGTCAAATAAAATGTAATAAAGTTTGATTCATGCTATGAGCTCATTGCTTGCTAAAACAGTTCTTCATTACATTGTCAAATAGTTTAATAGAACTAGAATATTCATGTTTATTTATGTTAAAATGAATATGCATTATTATTTTTGATGGTTAGATAGATGGTTAAATAAAGACATTGTTGTTTTCTCTCATGCCATTAACTTATCATCTTTAATATATTTAATATTATTTTGATATTAAAACTTTTATTTTTATTTTTGACATATTTGTAACCATAAAAGCATACAAAGAAATAGTAAAGCTGTGATAGATATTGATAACAGGCGATTCATTTAATGCATAGGCGGCGGAACGTTTTCAAATGGGGTAAGGCTCATCTAACGAAAATTTTTTGAGCAAAATCGCGGTTTCTACGATAAAATATCGATGAAAACAATTGATGAAACCGTGATTTTCCGAAGTAGCGTTTCGGTCGAATCCACTCATGGTGTTGCTACCATCAAAAACCGCGGTTTCTAGCTGATGCAGTTCAGTGGCAATGTACCGCAATATCTGAAATCTTGTCTTAATAGTGTCTACATACCGCGGTACATTGAATCTAAACCGCGGTGTTTACAGCAGCTAGACCTCCAATTTCAGAACAATACAGCTAAGGATGAATGAGCGGCGACATCTGAAACCATGCTTTTTTATGGTTTCACATACTGCGGTACACTCAGCCTAAACGCGCACTCCACGGATCCCGTTTGTGTAGCAGTTTCTCAAACTGGAGCGATTAGGATTCAAATATCGGCTTTTTCACACTGCACTTTCCAACATTGGAGGTGATTGTTCAGTTTCGATCAGATACAAGACCAAATTTTATTTTCGAATGAACACCGCAAGACGATTTCGTAAAAGAACCGCAGATTATTACTCAGATATAAAAGATTCGAATATTGAAAAAAAGAATCAACTGTTAAAAGTTGCTACTTTCAATCAAGGACGTTAACTGAGCTATCGTAATACAACGAAGCGAAGAGAATAGAAGATGAAGGACAGAGAGGGTAGAAAGAAGAGAGAGATAGAGAGGAGGAATGAAAGAGAAAGGGGAAGAGAAAGAAAACAGGGAAGAAGAGACATACAATCTTCTTAAAATAAAAAACAGTTTGAAATTGCGGTCTAAAAAATGTAGAGTTTTTTTTAATGGGTTTGACTATGTCATGGGAGTCAAATCGTTGATTAGGTTTTCATAAACCGTATAAAACCGTGGTTCCAGCCGGTGTGAAAATCTAAGACAAAGTCTGATTCCCGCAGTTCACTGATATCGGTCAAACCGCGGTTCTTCATCCCACTATTTAGCGCGATTTTACTAAAAAAACTTGTATAGGCAGCGTACGGTAGTCCCTTACACAAAACAAGTTTTTTTCGGATTTTGCTTACGTCGAGCATAAATGCTCAGATACAGAAGCTACGACTGAGCGTTAATCTCTGCAGCAATCTGATTGTCTTTCTTTTCCTCAACATAATAAAGGCAAATTCGTGAAAAAATTAAAACCTGTATATCAAAACGGGGTAAGCTCAGCCTAACAGAGCCAAATCCGGGTAAGGCTAAAGCCTTACCCAGCCTCCACGTTCCGCCGCCATGATTCATTTTGAAGAATGAACATTCTATGCCTAAGATGAACTCTAATTTTATAGAAAACAGTATTATTTTATTTCTGTTTTGTATGTAAAAGTGAAGTTTCCGCTTTATTTCGTACAATACTACAGTACCATAATAAATGGCAAAAGATTCTGTGTAATGAAGCCAATCAAACGTCTCCATGTTAAAAAATATTCATATTTGAAACAACCAAGTAATGACATATGGGTTACTTTCGTAAAAAACAAATACCTATGTCCGACGAAGAGAGAAGGTCGCAGCATGATATTGTTGAACAGCAATATAGAAACAAAATTCATTGTAATGTCATTTCGAATAGGTGTGATATGCATTTGTCTGTTGCATATTGAACTTCTTTGAATATATACAAATACTATCATTTCTTTCTAGCTCGACTTGAACAATATGCTTTAATACAATCTAAATACCGTACAAATTCAATACAGTTACGACTAATAAATAAACTATATTCGTAGTGGATTAGGTTGCAGTACTTTTCAG